TTTAACAACTCTGAGCTATTAGTTAAGTTCTCCCCAAACGAGCTTGATGGGCCGAATGGCCTCCTCTCGTTTGTAAATTTCTTATGTTCTTATTATAACGAGTCTAAGATTTGAGAACATTTTGAGATGTTGAACACTTCTCTTGGTCATTGCAATATTTGGTATATATCAATTATCAATTGCCCCTTTTACTATAAAGTAAATATATCTAAAACAGAGACAAATGCATTAAAAGATGATGTATGTACACCTTTGACTGACAGTTTAAACTTGAATATTGATCCATCTTATAACTGCTTATGCTGGTCAGTGTTGCAGGGTGGCTCTGGAGACTTGTCTAAGGCAGTATAGAACTCAAAGATGGAGTACACCCTGCACAGGATGTAAATATCAGTGCACAGACACACATGTATTAGAAGTCACTTCAAAGTATTGCTGTACTAGGGAAACATGGTGGTGCAGAGGGTAGTACTGATGTGGGGTTAGTATTCAAATCTTGCCTCTGACCTATGTGGACACTGCATGTCCCATAGGTTTCTCCTGTAGTCTAAATATATACAGTTAGGCCTGGTGTCTCTGGCATCTCAAAATTGTCCATAGTGTATGGTTGAGTATATGTGTCTGCATGTGGATTGGAATCCCAGCCTTGAGCCCCGCACTGCCTGGGATAGGCTCCAGGCTCCCTATGACCCACTAAGGATAAGCATTTGAAATACAGGTGAAAGTCAAAAGTTACATCAGTGGCAGAGTGATTCATGACAAATGTCTATGATAGTTTCTGAGACAAGCCAATATATTGAGACTTAAAGGTGATAATCAAAATAAATATTTATTTGATAATGAAGACCTAATTATGGTATATTTGTTGTGAAGCATTGGCGGTTTTAGACGGTTATACTTGTCTCATCCGCCCTGAAAAATAATTATTTTGAAAATTCTAAAATATAAACAATGCGATTAACAGGAGGCCAAAAACACCATGCATGCCTCCAAATAATTCGCACAAATCTTAGAAGCAATTTATTGATTGCAAAATAATTTAAAGTCAAAGAGCTCAATATTAGCCAACGAATATTTACTATGTATCTATATTTTGTATTCCTCGGGCTATTTATTTAAATATAAGTATGTAATAAGCTATTTCGGCGCATTCATCACACAGAAAATATATAATTCCGATCCTTTGTTCATTTATATTTTGAAACTTTTATCTCCAAAGTCAGACCGGAAATGAAAAACAGTACGTCAGACAAGAACTGTGGGGCCTTCTCCGGAAATCCATATTTGGAAAGACCGCGTTTGGAATTAAAGTTGTCCGAATAACTCCTGATTGAAAACTCCTCTTTTATGGAACAGCATATAATGTTGATTGCTCAATATAAAATTGAATTACTATATACCCATTTTTATAATCAAAGTATTTCGAGGATTTCTTCGTATATTAAGATTTGAAAGCTAAATACAGTCAGGCGCTAGTTTGGATGCCTTGCGCGAGGCGAGTGTGATACATTCGTGCATTGCTTTGTTTTGAGAAGTGTGGACATGCTCGCATTTTGTTGATTTGAGAAGTGAAAGTGAACGGTAAGATTTTATCTGTTCATATCCTTCAAACCAGCCCATTGTTTAATTACGTGATTCGTTGTTTAGTCGAATACAAGATATTCACTTAAACGTCGTTTAATTAGCTACCCAGTTCATTCATTCAAATGGTGTAGCGAGTTGACTTTTAGATGGAGTCTACCGTTTGCAGGGGCTAGTCCATGAGTCCATTTTGTTTAACTGGTGTTGTTAATAGGTGTATCCAAAAACTCAGGTCACTGTTAAGAAAATATAATGCATTAATTACAAATCATGTGCATAGCTAGTCAACGAGTAAAATTAAGATCAAGGTCGTTTACTTAGTATCAACACACTGCAAGGTATATACTTGAATGTAAAAAAATTAAAATGAAACATAACAAAGGTATCTGTGTTGGCAAGGGTAGTCAGGATTCTACCGTTTATCTGTAGCTTAAAACTGGGTTTTCGAAGGTCGTCCCCATGTTCCTCACAAATTATTTCTATAAATAAACTGACCCTTACGTTAATCTCTGTGTGTTCGTTTTAGTTTCATTGTACCGTAAACTGCAAGAGATGTGATTTTCAGGTCAGGTAGCGCAATATCCCCTGCCCGTGTTAGAGATGACATTGTGTGAAATTCTGATGCTGTGCAATTTTATTACATTTCTCTTTCCTGCCATTTGTGCCGCGCTGTTGCAGCAGTGCGTGTACTTCTGTGTGTGCGTGTCGTGTGTCTGGAGGGTCTGTGTGTGAGTAGGGGATTGGCAAGGATGTCAAAGAGAGGTAAGAAGAAGGAGGAAGCAGCAGCTGCAGCAGATGGCGACAAGGACAACGGTGCTGGTAATTTTTTCAATTTTTAACCTTTAGGCTTTGACATGAAGCAGGGAAAACTTAAGTGTTCTCTTTAATGATTTAGGCAGTTTGTAGTAGTGCTTGTTATTGCTGATGACCTCAGAAACCACCATTGTGATCAAGATAAATAATTACACCATTTTAATTGTGCCATTCATGCATGTTTTTTTTTTATTTATTTATTCCAATATGCCTAATCCCACCAGCCCCACCTGCCAAGAAAGGCAAGAAGGAGAAGGAACCGGAAGCCCCTATACTGTATGAAGACCCCCCAGACAAATTGACCACTAATGATGGCCGTGCAGCCAACATGAAGATCACTTCATGGAACGTGGATGGTTTGCGGGCCTGGGTCAAGAAGAAGGGTCTGGATGTGAGTTTGGGAGTGGGTTGTTCCTAGCAAGGAACTTAACATTTAAAAATATTAAAGCAAACTTCACAGGTACAATAAAATTGTTGTTAGAGAAAGCAGTTCCATATAGTTTGATGTAACTGTAAGATACAGTAATATTGGCAGAGGGTGGTTAGCACCATGCCCTTCCCCTGTTTTAAAGCACTTTAGAACAACACGCACCAACACCACATATGAGCGGGCGGAGGGAAGCATGGGGTCTTTTCACACCCCCGTTCTCTGTTCACCATCTGGGGCCAGGGGCTGGGAGGAGCTGGCCGTCCGGTCGGGGTCTGGGCTGGTGGGCTTCTCGGCTGCTGTGGGGTCCGGGGTGGTCTTCTTGTCCCCATGCCAGAGGAAAAAAGGGATCCATCTCCGAGGTCTGGTGGCGGATTGCCCCTCTGGGGGCGGTGGCGCCTAGATCTCGGAGTATAGAGTATATATGGGGAGTGTGAAGTTGCGTACGGCGTTCATTTCTGTGTGTCTTCATGTTGGGCGAATGGGTGAATATTTGTT